GGCATTTGCTTTTATAAGATGTTGCTAGGTGATTTCTCATCCATTTATAAAATATTTCCATTTCACCAATTAAAAAATGTTATTTATCAGTCTATTTAAAAATTGCTTTATTTTTTTTATATAGATCTGGTTTGAAGTTCTCAAGAAACATGTGCAACTTATATGACGTATAAGCTTTTGAATTGTGACTATAAACAGATAAATTTTAGCAAAAAAAAAAAAAAAGAGACTATAAACAGATAAATGGTTATGCAGAAATGCACAACACTAATAAAAATTGGTCACAAATGACAAAAAAAAAAAACTCAACAGAAAAGAGATGTTTTGAAGCATAATATAAACTCAAGAAGCATTGAGATGCAGAACATGTTTTGTTTTATGTTCGAAAAATTTTCAAAATAAAATGAAAAACATTGTATGATACTTAACGAGAACTCAACTCCGTGATGACATTGCTCATTGACATTGTACCATTTTCAGATTGAGATTGAATCCTAGCATAAGCAGGAGCCTTAGGTAAAGGGATGATGATAGTCTCACTACAAAACCAAACTATTACAGAGCTCATGGTTGGTCTATTTGCCGCATTCTCTTGAACACACAACAAACCAATCTGAATCAACTTTATGATCTCGTTTATCGGATTCTCGCTTAAGTGAGGATCAATTACAATCTCAGGCTTTCCTTCGACCCATCTCTTCCATGCCTACACCAAGAAAAAAAATATCTTCTTACATTCTCTACAAATGTTACAAAATTAAAAAAAAAAATGGAGCAAAATTGTTATGTGTAGAAGCTTACAAAAGCTGGAAGTCCTTCTCCTTCAAAGCTATTGTTTCTTCTACCACTTATCATCTCTAGAAGCATAACACCGAAGCTATAAACGTCAGATTTAGCTGAGATCTGTCCGTAATTCAGGTATTCGGGAGCCATGTATCCACTGCATATACACAACCAATAATACTAATTGATGAATGTTGATCCAAAAAATGTCTGAAAGACTCTGTTATAAAAACAGAGCATTTATATATGTGTTTTTAAGGTTTATATATAGATAAT